TGAGCAGCGAGATCTACAGACAATCTATATGTGTTCATTTTTAATTGTACTAGAACGTGTTTCCCGCTTCCTGATATGCCCTAGCAATCAAGGACTTCCAAAATACTCCTTACACTGGGTGAGCAGACAATTATTAAGAGAGAAGATAGATTTAAAATGCATATGTTGTATATCCAGGTCGGATCTCTTCCAATCACGCAAAGGATGAAACATATGACTAACTGAAGTTTTAGAGGGATTGAGAAGAGAACGTTGCATATACTGTGTACCAGGTTGAATTATGAGTTACACAAAGGAGACATTATGTGGCTAACAGATAGAAAGAATTGCATAGAGAGAAGATGAAGAGAGATAAAAATGCATATGTTACAGTCCAAGTCGGATCTCTCGATCACGTAGAGGAGGAAACATATGACTAATAGACAGAAAGCAAGAAAATAACCTTCTAAAGACCTAATTGATCGGAATTCCCCAGTCACCCCATCAAAACCGGAATTAAGGACAGAATCCGTACATCGAGGAAAAGTTAATCCACAGTTCTAGATACGGGTTATTATAATGTGATCGGTGGATTCTCATGTATATCTCCCTGCTCAACCTATCCGATCGTTATATTGTTAGGCTAAACGGATCTAACTAGGTTAATTTTTGTCAAGTCCTTGAATTCCTAAAGTTCAACTCTCCCTAATCAAGTCCATTTAAAATTTTTCGTGCCTACCAGCGAATCGAGCACAGAGCGTAGACGATTCAATTTAGGCACGTTACGCAGATTCAGATTGCATGTTACCACTTGCTAATATCATTTCCCAAACAATACCTACTAACGAAAAACTATTAAGAAAATGAAAATTTGTCTTTAAAACGAATCACAGTAAGATAAATTGAGGAGTATAGAGAAGAAAACGCAAACCGTAATTCACCGATTTAATCTGCATCCAAAAGGTCTGAGAACAGCATGCATAATCTCAGAATAGATCCGAAAATTCTTCATGTTGTTAAGCATAAACCCTATTAAGAAAATGAAAAATTGTCTTTAAAACGAATCACAGTAAGATAAATTCAGGAGTATAGAGAAGAAAACGCAAACCGTAATTCACCGATTGAATCTGCATCCAGAAGGTCTGAGAATAGCACACATAATCTCATAACAGATCCGAAAATTCTTCATGTCGTTAAGCACAAACCCCATGAGATCCCTTCCTTTCTTCCCTTCCCTCAAAGGACATATACTCTTAAAGAAAATTCTGAATGTTGTATAGTTGAGAGATGTCCCATATCATGTGCCTGGAACAGCCACTACAAACAAACCGAAGTCTGATGATGTGCCTCCATAGCTGCTCCGACACAGAGCGGGGTTAGTTGGTCTTTGGAACCCAATCCATTTTGAAACTGGGTCGACCTTTGTCATCAATGCAGGGTACTCTCTCCCATGACATATCCTGCTTATCACAAACAAAAGATGTAGAAATATTAGAATCATTAATTGATTTGGGAGATTGAACCTTTGGTACCCATTTCTTGTTGGATCGTATGGGTGCCTCGACACTTGCTTTTGATCTTGATGTCGTCCGTTGAGATGACTTTGACCTAACCGGTCTTTGTTTCACTGGAGCATCTCTTGGATTGGGCTTGTTGGCTGACATTTCCTTCTTGCCCTTGGGATTTGGATTCTTGGTCTTCTGCGCGTTCCAGTCACCATGGTCTGAACGTGACCTTGAGGGGTTTCTTTTGAAGTATCTCCCTCTTGGCGCGTTCTTCTAGCCTTGTGCGTAGTAGGGAACGTATGCGCTATTTGGACATTTTCAGGCAATATGTCCAGGTGTTCCACAGTGAAAACATGTCTTTTTCTTCACTGTGAAGTTGTTTCTTCCTGCCCCTGGTGGCGTATCCTTGCCTTGTCTCTTATTGTTCCCACATGCACACTTGCAACAAGCACTCTGTTGTGATGGAATTGGTGGCCTGTATTTCTCAACGGCAGGTTTGTTAAGAGTAACAGAATCAAAGCAATAGATTCTGAGTTCAAGGAGTCATTGATTTGTTCAGTAGTGTTCTCTTTGTTCTCATCTTCTGCTACTTTACATGCACATGAAGTAGAACATTGGTATTTTCAACTTGAATACCTCCTGACACAAATCCAATTGGTTTTCCATATTGAAGATGTGCCTTCCTGTCAATTTCTTCCTGTGTCATAGGGATCGGTATGTAGTTATGATTGAAAGGTGGAGGAAAACAATCATACCCTAGACCCTTGTTTTGATTATCTTTGAATTTTAATTGGGTTTCAAATAAGGACTCGACTGTCTGACTTGACGCATTATAATTTTTGAAACTAACATCTGTTTTTCCACACTTAATTTTCAAAGTGTTAAGTTCTTCAGTTACAGCAGCAAGTTGTCTCTTAATATAGTTATGATTTTCACACTTGTTGCTATACTCTTCCTGAAGCTTCCTAAAGTCTTTTGTTTTTGCTTCTAATTCAGCCTTCAGGGTTTCTGTCGTTTCCTAAGTTGATATCCTTCGTATTTTAGGTCCTCGACTTCCCTTTTTAGCAAATCATTATGTTCACGAAGATTTTTTATTGTATCTTCACAAGATGGAGTACATGAAGCTTCATTGACTGGGATGTTTTTAGAACTCATTGCTTCTCCACATTTCAAAGCATCAAGCTCTTCAATTATATCAGCAATACTAAGACAACTGAGATCTTTTGTCTTCTTAATGACAGCCACGTTCATATCCCATGATTTCGGAAGTGAATTCAGTAGCTTTTTGTTTATCTCCGACTTAGTCAAGAAGATCCCATCTATATTCATCTTAGTAGTGATAGTGGTGAATCGCTGCAGCTGAGCCTCCAAGGTTTCTCTAGGGATATAATCGAGCATGTTGAAATTTTGTCTTCACATCTCCTGACGACTCTCTTTCATGTCTTTATTTCTCTCATTGACCTTAAAAGTCATTAAAAACACAACTAGAAGCCAAAATCAAACCCTTTGACTACAAACCTCAAAAATCAACCTTAAAAGTCAAATTTAAAAAGTCAAACTCAAAAGTTAAATTTGAAAATTTAAAAGTCAAACGAGAAAGTTAAAGTTTGAAGTCAAAGGTCAAACTTGAAAGTCAAAGTCAATTTTTTTTGGTAAAAAGTCAAAAAATAAAAGTCAAAAAAATTAAACACCAATTATTATTATTATTATTATTATTATTATTATTATTATTATTATTATTATTATTATTATTATTATTATTATTATTATTATTATTTTGGTTAAAATTGGAATTTAAAATGAAGGAAATTGAATTTTTTGGGCTAAAAGTGTCAATTTGCGAAATTAAGGTGCGACGGGAAGTGCTTTTGAGTTAAATTTCGAAGGAATGGAACAAAAGACTTGATAGTCTAACTAGTAAGGTGCGCGCTTGAAGACCACTAGGTCTCGAGTTCGAACCCTTGCAACCTCTAGATCTCTCCTTTATTTTTAAAGAAGCATGTGTAGGATCCGCAATCCACCAAGCCGAGCCGTATACTCCGAGTCGAGGCCGCAAACTCCGAGTCGTAACTCCGAAACCCTAGCCGCCGCCGAAAAAGCCTAGCCGCAAACTGTTTATGGCCGAGAACCCTTCAAAAAATGACGTTTTATCAAATAGAAGAGAATGAGAAGAAGAAGATGATGAATCTTGTATTATTTGATGATTAGAATGTAGATCCAAATACAAGATTCACACACAACATACACTCTTTTCTCTCTCTTTTGGTCGTGCACTCTCTTTTGTTCATCAATCTCTACTCCTCACCCCTAACATATATATATATATATATATATATATATATATATATATATATATATATATATATATTATATATATATATATATAGGGAAAAGTGAATATACCCTTAAGGGTATATAAGCTTAGGTACCCAAACTCACCATACTACGTCATTTTGTATCATTTATATACATTGTAATTGTCTAATGTTCTTATAATTCAACTTCTATCTTGATTTACTTCAAAGATTTTTATAAATTTCACATTTATCTCCCTCTTACATAATTTTCATTTTCAACTATAATATATATAGCTTAATAGGTGTTCGTCAAAAAGATGTGTTGTAAGAGAAAGATAAGAGTGAAAATTTGAAAAAAATCTTTAAAGTAATCAAGTTAATGATTGAAGTTTAAGAACATTATAATGAATATATCAAACAAAACGACGTATTATCGTGAGTTTGGGTACCTAAACTTATATACCCTTAAGGGTATATTCACTTTTCCCATATATATATATATATATATATATATATATATATATATATATATATATATATATATATATATATATATATATATATATATATATATATATAAGGGGAACATAGGCCGGAGAACATGGGCCGTAAATGGGTTTACGGCCGTAAACACTGACCGTAAACACCACACATGGCCGTAAATTAGACTGTAAGCTCATAAAATATTACATAAAAATACAATTGCCTAGAAAAGCAAAGTATAAACCATATTTTGATCCAACATTATGTTTTTGAGGATCCTGGATTTTATCAAACAATTTATGAATTTATGTTTTTGACAATTTGACAATTGTGGTTTTGGAAATGTGATATCGAGAATTATATTGTTTTAAAAATGAAAAAAAAAATTACATGAAAATTTATGGTGTTACAAATATACACGGTTAGTTGGATTATCCTCTTGCTTCAACCCGTGACTTGCTACAATGTAAAGAGAATATAGAGGGGCATCAAAGGCTAGCATGGATTCATGAAGCTATAATGCTAACTTTTATATGGGTGATCCGGAAATATCAGGGCTGACTCGCCAGACCCAATTTCAAAATCGCAATCAGCGTTGGCTTATAAGGTGAAATCACTCTCGATCCTTTGGATCAATGCAAGAAAGAGGAAAGGGCAAAATCTGAGGTGGTCTGAATGGTGTTGCGACCCGATACTAAAATGTTATAAATTTTGATGATGTTTTGTTTTGTTATTTGTTTCTTGTTATTTGCTTTTCTCCGTGTTGTACTTCTAGCCCCCGACTAGCTTTCTCTTCAATGCTTTAAAAATAAATAAATAAAAAATTGACGGTGAAGTAATAATATTAAACACGCACTCTCAACATAAAAAATATCGAGAACAAAATTTAAAACCACCGCAGTCCACTCACCTGTAGCACTTAAGTCAACTCGCCTCTCGAGAAAGTGAGGAAGAGAGATCGATCGTAATGGCCGCAGAGAAAGGAAGAGTTGTGTGTGTAACAGGCGCAGGAGGGTTTGTAGGATCGTGGTTAGTGAAGCACCTGCTCTCTAAGAACTTCACTGTTCATGGCACCGTTAGAAACCCTCGTAAGGTTTTTCCTCAACTCCGATTCTAGAAAATTTTCGTCGATTTGAAGTTTCCGAGTTACGTTTTCATTTTTTCAGTTTCAATTATGCTTGATTTCATCTGAATTACATGTCCGATCGAGAAATTTGAGAGAGATACATATTTCGGCGTACATGTTCCCTAACTCTTTGAATTCGATATTGATATAAGTCAATGAAATGTTGAAAACAAAAATTCAGTAATTAGCAACTCAAACTCAAATCTAAAGTTCATTTTCTAACACATTTTTCCTTCAGAGGATGAGAAAAATGCTCATTTGAAGAGCCTCGAGAACGCATCCGAGAATCTGAAGCTTTTCAAAGCAGACCTTCTTGACTACAAGTCTCTCACCGCTGCCATTGCTGGATGCAATGGCGTGTTCCATACTGCAAGTCCAGTTCCATCTAGTTCTGTTCCAAACCCTGAGGCAAGCTTCTCTCTCATTTGACTGATATCAACCTTTGCAGTTTGACTTATTAACGAAAAGCTTTATCACTGATTCCACTCTCTTGTTGCAGGTAGAACTGATTGAGCCTGCTGTGAAAGGTACACTGAATGTACTGAAAGCATGTTGTGAAGTAAATGTGAAGAAAGTCGTGTTTGTGTCCTCTGTAGCTGCTATTGCTGTCCTACCTAACAAACCCACGGATCGACCCATGGATGAGACCTTTTGGTCCGACCCGGAATTCTGCAGATCAAATAATGTAATTAGCTTTACTATTATGTTATTTACAATCATTCAAAAAGTTACCCAAAACTCAATTTCTCCTTTTTCTTTATCTAATTCGATTTTATTATTATAATACAGGATTGGTATTGTCTTTCTAAGACACAAGCAGAAAGTGAAGCTTTTGAATTCTCAAAAAGAAACGGAATCAATTTGTTATCAGTGTGCCCAACTCTTATTATAGGGCCAATGCTGCAACACACCATGAATGCTAGTAGCTTGGTTCTTATTAAGCTTCTTAAAGGTTTCTACTTTTTTATATTTTTCAAATCCTGTAATTTGTATTAAACTATTAATTGGTGTGCATCTTTTTATGTGTAGAAGGATATGAAGAACTAGAGAACAGGCTACGTATGATTGTAGATGTGCGTGATTTAGCTGAAGCATTGCTTTTAGTATATGAAAAACCTGAGGCTAATGGAAGATACATATGCACATCTCATTTGATTAGGGCAAAAGAATTGGTGCAAATGCTGAAGAAATTGTATCCTGCTTACAAGTTTCCAAACAAGTGAGTTTACTTTTTTTTTATTATTATTATTTAATTTAGCAACTGTTATATTTATATAGGCTTTAAGGTTTGTTTCTTTTTTTAGTCTGAATAAACCGTCTGAATGAGACAAAAATAACTATTTGACCCTCATACATTATTAAAAAGACAAAATTAACTCGATTCTACTTGAATTGGGTTGCAGATTTACGGATCCAAATGGGATATTTTCAGTAACATCTGAGAAATTACAGAGGCTTGGATGGAGTTACAGACCACTTGAAGAAACACTTGTTGATTCTGTCGAGAGTTACAAGAAAAGTGGTCTTTTGGGTGAGGAATAGAATGTCGAATTCTACAGAGTTTGATCTTTTTAAAAAAATTTCCCATCTTTTCACTTTTTTATGTGTTTTTGAATTTTGATATGTAAAAAGGTGAAAATAGTGTTGCTGAATAAATCTTTAAGACTTGAACAGTTTATTATAATTAATAAAAACACAACTAATGAGGAAACGTTATCTTTTTTGGATGTTGGTTTTATTGCATGTAGAAAAAGGTGATGTGATTTGCTTCATTTTATTGTGATAATGTTATTTATTATGCGTTTTACTATATGTAACCAATCCAATTGAATTTATTATTAAAGGTTTGTTTATCTTTTGGTTCACGACATTTTTTTGTTACTTTATTAACAATTCAATCAAATCCAATCTTTTTTTAGATATTTTTAATACTATCTATTATTATTGTTTCTAAGCTTACAAGAAATATGAAAAAAAAAATTTGTATTATTTCAAAATAAACTAAATCTTTGTTATTATGTGCTATTTTTAAAATTACAAGGAAAAAAAGATACATAAGACCCATTATATTTTTACCATCTTTTCGGTAATTCGGTTTAACCATTATATTTTATTTTGGTCACTGAAACCATCTATTTTTTAAAAAACTTCTAAGTACAAACATTGTGACCCTTATTTACATATTAGTGTGTGTTAAAATGACATGTGCCATGTATTTTTTTTAAATACCATCTTACTTGCTGAAATTAGATTCTCTATTTACTTACAAGATATGTAAATAACAGGTTAATTAAGAAAATAAGAAGCAATTTCAAAAATATAATATATGTGATGTAATGAAAATTTATATTAATTTTAACACTTGTTTAACCAGAAATAAAGGGTTAGATTGAAAAAATTATTTAAAAAATAAAAATAGGTGGTTTTCATCTATTGAAGTAAATTTTGGTGGTTAAACTAAAAAATAGTAAAAATCAAATAATTTTTATGCATATTGCCTAAAAATGAATCACACATTATGGTAGATTAGGATGACAATGGGTTGGATTGGGTTATAAACAAGTTTAATATTTTTAATTAAAATGCTTGAAATCCAACTCAATCTGTTTAAATTAACATGTTGAAAATTTCAAAGCCAACTTTTTTAGTAAGTGGGTTGAAATCAGTTTGACATATTTGTTGTTTTCCTAACCCCCAACATGTTTGAAAAACATATTGAATCCGGGTTGACCATTTAAATTTCTTTAAAAAATATTAAAAACCAAATATTGCTTCAAAAAAATTTAATAATCATTTGAGTTTAAAAATAATGCAACCATAAGTCTACAAGTTTATAACATGAATACAAATCAAGTGTTTACAATCATAAAACATTATCAGCTCAACTTCCACTAATGGTTGTTAATCCATATCTTTTGAAAAGTAAAATATAATATCCAATTAAATATTAATACTAAATAAATATAAATTAAAAATATTTAAAAATATTATACAGGTTTGCGGATTGTAAACATGTTGAGAATTTTAACTCTAACCTAACATATTTGATTAAACGGGTTAAACAAGTTAACTCGTTACTTAAATTGGTTGAAAATCTCAACCAAACGTATTATTTACTAGGTCGGATTGGCAGGCTCGGATTGAAATTGCTAGCACTATGGTATAATTATACTATGCATTAATTAAATAGAAATGAGCTTAAAATATAACTTTTTTTTTTGTTAAAAAGAGAGGTTCGGTTCATCCTTTAAAGTGTCACACATATAGAAGACAACCTTGGACGATTTTTGGTTGGATGGAGAGGAAAGGTTCATGGTTTTTATTTTATTTTTGTACTTTTTTCAACTTTATTATTTTTATCTTATTTAGTTAGTTACAATCGGTTTTTTGCTATTGACTATAGACTAACGTTCCAACCAATTACAAGTACAACTATTTGATTGATTTATTTTCTTGCCATAAAAGAAAATGACTTGATGAAGTGCTAAGTAGAGCTTTTTATTGTTGGCCAACTTCTTAGTCTACTAGGCAAGAGTCATTTCACGTTCTTTTTTTTATATGTATGATTAAAGAAAATTATGAAAGTTTTTGGATTTGATTCAACTTTCGTGAATTTGTTGTTGAAAAAGAGGTTCACAATTTTGGGTATGAACTTTGCCTTAATTCACGAAAATTGACTATAGTATTAATATGTAATTCATTTTATAACTAACAAAACACAAAACAACCAAATGGTTTCTAACCTAGTGGTATCAGGTTTTGTCCTTCCTTTTTGAGATCTAGAGTTCACAAAAATTGACTTTGGTACAATCACCTCGCACCCTTCCCTCAAACAACTTAAAAAACATTTAATTTAACAAAATAAGCACAAAGCTTAATGAGTTCTCCAGTATACCACAAATTCCACTATACATACAATGCATACAAGAAAATGCTCACGGATTTAACCGATCCACCAGGGTAAGAGCATAACATATCAACCATAAGCACCCTGCCTTCATCCCTCTACCGGTTGTCAGCCGCCATAGAACCATCGACTCTCAGTTGTCCCACAATCATAACGAGGCTATTACTAATATTGACAGACAACTTATGAATGCATAACCATACGTAGCTAATAAATAGGATAGATAGTCGAACATATGATCCTACCCGAGAACAATAAATCAAACAAGAACCATGAAAAAAGGCCTAGACCAGAGTTCTCGTGTTATAGAATTTAAACTACGTGCAATCCCTACGTCATTCACTAAGTGATCAATCAATACTACCAATACTCATCAAATCATGACACATAACAATATCATACAATCAATCAATTGCATCTATAACGAAGACTATTTAGTCTACTAACATACATGTACCCTAACAACACTCGTGTCCTATCATACAAAGAATATACGATGTCACACATAGTATAGTGATAAAAATCACATGGAGCTAGCTGATCAACCAAAATCCTCACACGTGAGTCCATTAAAAATCTGATAGCATGGTCCACCTAATATCAACCAGAGACTAATACTTAGTCCAAAACTCATATCCTTCAAGGTTTGACCAAAAGTAAAATTTATCAAAAGTCAACAATAAATGCCAACCGGACAAAGTCAACAATCAAGCAGGTCAACGCACCACGACCAGCCTTTGGTCACGTCGCTACCACCATGTGATAAAAAATCGCGACATCATACCTATATTCGCGATGACAACTTTCCTTGGTCGCGTCATGATCTTCAATGTGGATTACTTCTTTTATTAAGCATTTAATCCCTCAAGATTAAGGCTCCAACTTTCCAGATCACATCAAATAAATGACTTAATGGATAAAGTTTCTAACTTTATCCATTTCACGCCTCAAACACGCTTTTTCTATCATCGGTCTAAAATGGGAGCAAAATACTACAATCTTCATGTGTGCTTCAAAGGCTTAATGAAAATCACTTCTTTCCACCATAAAAACTTAAAAGGGTTGATAGCAATCACTTCTTTCCACCACAAAATTTCCTGAGTACCATAAAAAGCAAACTTTGGCCCTAGAGTTTTCCAAACTCCACCTAAATATCATTAAAATGATCAAAACATACTCATAATTCAAGATCTACTAAGAAAAACACATAAAGTCATAAACTTGATGACTTACAAAGGTCTAGAAAGGAGGTTAAAAGGTTCGAAATACTGTAGATCTAGCTTCTTGGGTAAAAGCCCACTTATTTCTTCACTAAAGGTTACCAAAAACACCACTAAGGAAGAAGGAGGAAAAAGAGAAGCTAGGGTTTTGAAGTTTGAAGGTTTTTAGAGGTGGAGAAAGATCAGTGAGGTAAACCTTAAATATCATATTCCTTAAATATGGCTTAAGGTTCGAGACCTAGGGTTTGAGCTAATTGCCGCTTCGCATCGTGACCCTTACCATGGCCACGCCGCTACTTATGGTGTGGATCGCGACACCACACTCTACTACTTGCAATCGTGACTACGAGTTTTTACCAAAACCCCCAAATATTGAAATCATCAAATTGACAATTTGAAAACCTAGTAAATAAGTGTCACATGTCACACCCCCAAACCAGAATGGCGGAAATGTCCGAAGGTGGATGACTTTCATGTATTGTATCATAACATAGAGAATAATAGTGAACAAAGCAAACACAACCATCATAAAATATAATTGAAGATGTTACAATATTTCATGAGTTACATGTTTCAAAATCAATTACGATATGATGATAAAAATGATTTGTCTGATGCCTTAGCGTCCCATCCTAAAAAGCTAGTAGTTACTTGTTTTAGTGATTACCTGAGAATACAAGTAGTTTTGAAAGAGTGTCAAAAACTAAATTTATGAGTTCATAAGCATTTATATGTAGAGTTGAAAGCCTTTCTTTGTAAAAAAATAGTGTCATCTAGAAAATCCAATGTTTTCCTTTTTGAAATGAGTTGTAGTCTTAAAACCCAAAGATCAAAATGTACAAGTATTTTCCATACTTATAATAGTATGTGCAGTTTTAACATATATAAAATCGTTTGAGTAAATATATCCCCGTAAACTATATATATATATCGTTGTTTCCCCATGTGAGTTATTATAACTGTGCTAATGACATAGATGGCCTGTTACGACGTTCTTCAGGCGTCAGAATATTATGACATCTGTCACCCCAGACCTGCCGGTCTAGCTGTTGCAAGCGGTTTAGGTGCGGGATTGTCAGTCTAAATATAGATATATACACAAGTATCATGCTCTCTTACTAGAGACTCCGGTTATAATACATGATTTTTGTAGGTACACTATTTTGTACGTGAAGATTTTGGCTCACAAAATTTGATTCAACGAGTTTACGTCTAGTATAATAAAAACCCTTTTGTAGTGGAATAATAACCTTTTCATAGTAAATTTCATAATGTAAAAGACCCATAAACTATATCGATTATAGTTTATCATAAATGTTTTTGAGTGATGAAAAACCTTTATGTGTAAGATTATCACCTTTTCATGGGAATAAAATAGCATGAAAATAATCAATATACATTTCCTTAATATTATACACTTTGCTCAACATGTTACAATGTGTTGATGATGCACAAATTGCACTTAAATAATTTATTACAGTATTTGGTTTTCGTACCCATATATAAATATATGAAATATATATATTTATACTTAGACATTTACAACCAATAATTATTTTTACATCAAACATAAATACGTGAGTCTTTGGTACGAAGATGTTCATTATTCTAGCCTTTAACTTTTCTGTTCACATTTTTAGAAAAAATATAGAAAAAACAACGTAAGTCGAATTTGGATCCGT